TAATAAACATCTTAAAAAAATAAAACAGTAGCAATGCTGGTGCCAGCATTACAGACAATATAATACATTATGGCCTCATGGAATTGCTCTTTACTGGGTGTCTGTGCTAGCACATGGAGTGGAAAGAAAGTGACACGGTGAAAGTTGACATGGTGGCAAAGTAAACAGAACCTAGGCTGGGATCCATTAAGGTGGCTTTAAATTCTGGCTTTCTCCATCATTGCCTGTATGACGGCCAAGTAGTGTAATCTCTCTGAACCTTAGGTTTGTAATTTGCAACGGGTGCCTTCTCACAGTGTGGGCTGCAATTAGTGTAAATAATTATGTGAAATAATTATTGCGAAGTGCTTTTCACAGTCAGGATTCAATAAATGTGCCCATCTCTACCCCAAGTTTATTGCTACAGCTTGGCGATTATGTGGTAGCTGAATAACTGAAGAGCACATTTGGGGACAATATAGAATTACATATAAATATAAGGACTGTGTGATTATAATTTAGTAGCCTTGATGGTATGGTCAGCGGTGACATGTCATGCCATGGTGACAATATCTTATTAAAAATATGCCACTGAAATATTTATCTCTCATCAGTATTTTATTGTTAACCATTTGCAGCTAGGATAATTACAGTACGATATCACTGGGCATAGAATTTGGTGGTAGGATTTTTGTTAAGATACTTGGCAGCCTAACACAGTGGGACACACAAGATTATAGTTTCGGGCCACACGGCACAGTGCAGGCTGAGGGAAGCAACGGAGGGCAACCAATGCTGGCAGCAGCAATGTGATTTTGTGCTTTGCTTTATTACATGTAATTGTGGGAACAGAAATGATAATATACTGTGCTGAGCTGCATTATGTCACCCTTCACCTTACAATTCGAACAGCAGCAATGCTAGCACACTGCAGTTATGCTCTTTCTATTTGCAGTTACATGAGTATAAAGACATTAGATTATACGAGGGTACCTACAGTGTTTGAAATAGTGCTAGTACAGTGTTTGAAATAGTGCTAGTGTGCATTATGTTAAAGTAAAAATTGTGCAGTCCCATTTATACTGTAGAAGCTCCAATACCACTAGGGCTGACACTCTCCCAGCATACATGTCAGTAAGTTGCAAGCCAATTGCTAATTCATCATATTAATAAACCACAATACCATTTATCAAAGCCTTCTGTTTAAGAGGTTCTATGCAGAGAACTTTGCCTCATCATTTCATGCACCTGCTATTACTCCCATTTCACTGATGAGGAAACTGAGACTCAACAAGCAAATTACCCAAAGGTGCTACAGCCAGTAAGAGGCAAGGCCTTACCCCACACTTTTACCCTTACCCATTACAATACTATGGACCATGGATCAATAGGGATCATTGCAACACACTGTGGTTCTGCACGGCAGCAGACCCTGGTCCCCTCAGATAGGGAGGAAGTCAAGATGGCAGTATTTCTAGTTTAGGATACTATAATTCAGCAGCATTTCACACACTCAAGACAATATCCAATAGTAGATTTAGTGATGTATTTGTTAACTAAGATTAGAAACAGCTTATTCTAACACTGTGGCTACATTTTTACTGCATTTCAAATAAACCTTGGATTGTGAGTAACTTGGTTTGCGAGTGTTCTGCAAGATGAGCAAACATTTCTAATACATTTTAACGTGGTAAACGAGCGATGTCTTGCAATACGAGTAATTTGTTTCCAGAATGAATTATGCTCACAAGCCAAGGTATTACTGTACAGTACTTTCTACTCATATGCACATTAAAGGTAATGCAGGATGGTTCAAACCAAAGGTCAGGAAAGTTACTTTCCCTCCTGTGCCCTTGTTTCTTCATCTGTAAAACAGACAGTAATCACATCTACTCTCTCAGTTTGTTGTGAAGATCTCATGGGTCAACCAAACCAGTAAGCATTTTGAATAGCACCAGGTGAAGAGTCAGGTCTCAGTAAATGTTCACTGCTAAGTTTGTGATTGTTGGTGGAGGTTTGATTTTTATTACATGCCAGACACTGCTCTAGGAGCTGGAGACATAGCCACAAACAATATCAGAGAGGTCTTCACCCCCGTGGAGCTATAATACAGGAGGAGAAAATGAACAGGAATTATTCCAGATACAGGGTTAAAGAAAAAAATAAAAGCAGGGTAGTACAACTGTGGGAGAAGGGCTGCTTTCCCAGGGTGTCTTTGAGGAAGGGATACTTGAGCTCAGCATGAAAGATAAGAAGGAGCAGCCTCATAAAGACTAGGATCTGGAAGCTTCCAGGTAGAGGGCACAGGTATAGCAAAAGTCCTGGGTTTTCAGAGACAACAGGCTGGCTGGCAGGGTACAGTGAGTACGGGACAGAGTAGCTAGCACATGGCAGGGCCAGAAATGGAGACGGAGCCCAGCACTGAGACCCTGTGTGGCCTGCAGATCAGTGGTTCTCAAATTTGGCTTCATATTAGCATTATGGGGAGTGTTTGAAGGATATGAATGCCTGGGTCCTGCCCTGGAAAGCCAAGAGTTTTGAAAGTTCCCCAGGTGACTCATTCACAGAATAGTTTGAGAATCA